TCACTCCCCAGTTAACATGCCTCGTGTTTATGGTCCCAGAGTTCTGCCTCTTGCTCTTGATAGTTGTTTGGTTCTTTTCAGAGCAGAACCCCCAGAAATTACCTCATGTATCACCAGTAGATCTCCCCACCCAAGTACTCATTTTGTTGCTGGTCAGTATGGTATAATCTTAGACTTTCATGAGCACTCAAGACTTTGTAGGTTCCCGGCTGAGGCCACACAGCTAGTGTGGAAATGACGTCCTAGTTGACAAGTTCTCTGCCCAGGCACCTTCAGGTGGGCCTAGGCTGCACTTTGTAAGAAAAGAATTATTATTATTCTTTTGGCTAGCTTTCCTAACCTCTTCATCTTAACTGGATGAAGTTAAGATACAGTTAAGATTAATGAGAGATTGATTCCATTGAAAATTTTAAGACAAAATAAAATTGACAGTAGTCTTCTGATAGTGTATTATAGGAGATGTGGCCAAATCCTACCATCTCATTAGAAAAAATTATAAAAATCAGAATTTTAATGATCCCTAAAGGTTTGTGTGCCCAAGTCTGGAACAAATAAAACTATCCCTGGGAGAAATAATTCTAAAAGCTAGTGTTTTCCTTTTTATGCTTTTGTTTTTCAAGAAATATTTTATTTCACTATTTAAAAGGAAATCAAAAGTGCCACATAGTTGTGGGATAATCATAGTAAACACTTACCTACGTCGAACACTTGTAATTGACATCATCTACTGTTTGTATTTCTTAGTTGCTTCCAAAGTTAAATCAGTGCTTTTTGGACCTTCCCTCAGGAGGGTAAAAAGATACACTTCTCATAGACTAGAGACATCACCCGTGGGTTCTTGACTCCCAGAAGGTGCTCCATGTTTATCTTTTGGCTTCCCATTGTCTCTGTCACACAGCCTTGGGGAACATGTGTCGAGTTGATGCTGAGGGACATGGCCACAAGCCAGGATGGAAATGAGACAGTGGCACAACTTTTAGTGCTCTGAATGCTGTTGCTACTATCCTCAGAACACTTGGTGTTTTACAGAAAGACCCAGAAGTATTCCACTGTCATCACAGAGTAAAAGTTTGTACCAGGAGTTATTAACAGGCTCTGATATAAAAATCACATGTGAAATCAATGTTTCATTTCAGGCCGAGGGGGCCCAGGACCTTCCCAGAGAGTGCCAAAATCCGGGCGTTCCAGCTCCTTGGATGGAGATCACCATGACGGATACCACAGAGATGAACCTTTTGGGGGCCCTCCAGGCAGTGGTACCCCTTCTAGAGGGGGCCGGAGTGGCAGTAACTGGGGTAGAGGGAGTAACATGAACTCTGGCCCACCACGGCGAGGAGCTTCAAGGGGTGGTGGAAGGGGTCGGTAGAAGTTGGGGCTGAGTACCCCTAGGCTTCTCTGGACGGTATTTGAGAACTTCTCGTGGACTTACCCAGAGAAACAAAAGGAAGCCTGTACCATGTAGCCATGAACTCTTCTGGGGCAGCTGAATCCCAGGAGCCCCTGAGGAGGTCTTCAAGATGAAGAGACTGCTGCTGGCTACCCACAGTAGCTGGCCTTGTTTTGTTCTGTCCACCCTCACTGCCCTAACTTCCCACATTCTTTTGTGAAGATAAAAGCTGGAATTTTTTTTTTCCAAGTGTCACAAGACATGGAGCACCTCCACAAATTTAAGTTCATGCCCACTTGGAAATTTGTTTCTATATGTACAGTTTGTCAGAGAAAAGACATTGTTTTTGTATGAATACAGAATGTGATTTATGCAAGAATTAACAGAAAACAACTAGTTGTGAAGTGCTTGCCTTAAAGAAACCCTTAGTTTCCATTGCACCGTCTGCTGCAGGGTGTATGATTATTGCTTCTATTTGTGAGCATAATTGATGGGAACCTCTAAGTCATCTAAATTAACTTCATCTGTGAACTTTGTTTTTAAACAAATTCTCATCTAGCCATCCTGTCACACTTATTTTACAACAGAGTGGGAAATACTTTATAACATAGTTTGAAGTCGATTCAAAGCCTTAGTTAGACATGCTCTGGGAGATGGAAAATGAAACTCTGAGGAAAAACTTAAATCTTCTGGCTGTCCAAGTAGGGGTTCTCCTTTGCTGCATCTCCTAGTAATCACACCTTGGACTTGAATTGTCTTGTTTGTTTCTGATGAGAGGAACTTGACATAAGCCAGAAATTAACTACCTTTTGATTACTGCACATCATTGCACAAATTAAGTTGAAAAGGAATGGACCAAAATATCTCCTAAAACAGTTTTGCAAAACTTAATTTCTTCCTTTTCCATACTAGCTATGTGAAAATAGTGTTTAAGGCAGAGGATAGTTGTAACGTATAGTAAACCATGAAGTTCTTGTCCACAACAAATTCCTTTAGTTTTATATAAATGTAGTATTTGCCCCAGTTTGGATTGGAAGGCAAAAAGTTCAGTTTGAGATACCCCACGGTACTTTCTATCCTGACCCTTACTTTGTTTTTATAAAGAAAGCTTTTATTATTCATAGGACTGTCCTGTGGCCGGCCGCCCTAACATCTCATTACATTGCCAGCTTCAGTTTGGCACTGGAGAGAAATTTACTTGGCAAATTTAGTGGAGGTCTCAGTAGTTGCTTAGAAAAGGGATACTGACATAGTTGGACAGTATATAAAAAATTCTTAACTAGTTCTCTATTAATGTCAAAAATGGTAAAAGCTTTTTCTGCAGAATGAGAAAATGTCAACCACACACACTGCTTCTTAGGGTGTTAGAACCTAGAGACTACAAGTGAATAATTTTGACTTTACTTTGAAATTAAAAACATCTTATTTATCAGCACCTACTGTAAACACGATTAGGAGGCTCAAGATTGCTTTAGGTTTTTGGATATTATTTGCCCTCCACTGATATAGCTTAAAAAGAAGTTGTAATCAAATTCTGAGAAGCTAAAAAGAGATCGAGGGACCAAACCCATACCAAGATTAGGCTCCTTTTTCTGAGATTCATGTGGTAAGAACTTTTATCATCTTAACATTTTAGGCTTTAACTTTAAAATACACAGTACCTATCACAGTAAACAGATAACCAGATCACATTTTGAGGATGAATTCATTTAGAGAAAACTGAAATCTCTACATTATATATTTACTACTTAGGCTATACATAGAGACTTTTTAAAACATCACTGTCAAAATACAAGATATTGTGCTTTAAATTTCATAAAAGCTATATTTTCAAAATGTTTGAATTCTTGAGAAAATAGTGGGGAAAGTTTTTTAAAAATATAATAGCATCAACATAAAAATGTGCTAAACATTGTAAAATCTTCAGCTGTGCAAATTCTAGAGCAATTTAGAACTAGAACAGAGTTAACTAGGGGATAGAGCAGGCAATAGCTCAAGTTTTTCCAGTTAACAAAATCACTCACTCCCTGAAAACAGCGCATGCTCTTACAAACACCCTCTTGGTTTTCCTCTTGAGGTAGGTAACCCTATTTACTGACAGGGGAACAGGCAGTATTCTTAGACAATACTGGCGTGAGGGGGATGAAGAAGCCTGTAAGCCTACACTGTGGATGTTGGTCACTTTAGTCTCACTTTTTGGGGCACGGCTCAGGACACTGATCAGGACCTAGGAATAAGGAATATAAGTTTTGAGGCTGGACGAAGAGGCGATGCTCTACTGTTGCCTGACACATCTGTTTAAGGCAACATTGGAATCCAGCCCCAGAAAACAAAATTATTTTCAAATTGTGCAATCCATGCACAGAAAAGTAGTTCTCAACCTTATTGGAACATAGTATCATCTGGGGGGCTCTAAAAAATACTGATGCCTGGGTCCCACCCCCAGAGATTCTGATGGAACTGATCTGAGGTTTGGTTCTTAAAGTAATTCTGATGTGAACTGAGAATCACTGGCATAGAATTTTAAAATTATAAATACATTTTACATATTCATATATAGCTACTGACAAAATATGTAATTTTTTGGATTCATTAAGAATATTGAGCTGATGCTTTCTGGCAATAAATTAAGGTCACAGACAAAAGTACTGAATGTAAAACGGAGATTTGCAATTACATATGAAAAGCATCTTATGTTGCATTAAGATCAGCCTACAAACTATAAATTATAATTTAAAAAGCAGATCATAAAATTAGAATGATAATCAGACCCTGCAGAAATCCACGGTTTCCATCAACTATGGGACCTGTGGATGTAGAATTATCTGCCTATCTTCCAGGAGTCCCCTAGCGCAGTCCAGCCCCGGGACCTCTCAAAGTATTTACATGCACCTTACTGGATACCATACTTGCCGGAGCAGAACATTTCCTTTTCGGTCCGTCGCTTTCATCGTCTAATACAAAACTGATTTTCCTTTAATTTTATAAGGCACCATATTTACAATTTCTCTAAAACAAGAAAAAACCGAGGCAAACCGTCTTAAAGTACTTAAAAAAAAATCCAGTGGCTAAATTTAGTGTTTAGTCTGATACCCTTGTGGATCCGCTCACATTGAAAAATGAGGGAAAATAATTTCCAAGAGCCAAAGAAAACAAAAGCTTATTGTAGCAAAACTACTACAATCTACCACAGGATTTTAAAGTGAGAAGTATGAGAAAAATCACAAGGGCAGCTAATTAAAACTGAAGAAACATTGTTTTTTTACTGAGCTCAATCCAAGACCACGGTTAACGCAAAAGCAAGTTATCAGAAATGTTTCACAGCACATCAAAGAAAGCTCGTTTTCAGAGCACACGCTACCGACGACAGCACAAAACGCTGAAAGCTTCCAACACTGCTACTGTCTCGGTTTTCAACAGCCGCTCCAGGTTGACACTTCGCCGGCACAAGGAACGGCCTGTGCCCTGCGCGGCCTGGGAACCGACGGGTGCAGTCCTTGCTCCGCCGGCGCTGGGGCTCGGTGGCCGTCCCGGCGGCCGGCTCCGCGTCCTCTCCCGGCGGCCGTCCCGGGGTCCGGCTCCGCGTCCCGGCCCGGCGGCCGTCCTCAAGCTCTCACACAGGCAGCGCCTTAGTGAGGCGGTCGCCGGGGCGCAAGCGCCCGAGGGCTAGGCGCAGTGCCGCACCTGTTCCCCAAGGCAGCAGGCCGAGCAGCACGGCCAGGAGGGCGGCCACCTGCGCGCAGGCGCCCAGCGCCGTGAGCAACGTACTGCGCAGACCCAGCGCCGCGTACAGCGTGGCGCCCAGCGCGGCCACGTAGAGCAGCGCGGGCCGCGACGGCGTCTCCTCGCCGCGCAGCAGGCGCCCGCACGCCGCTCCACCTCGCAGGAGCGCACCGCCAGTCAGCGCCAGCGCCGAGCCCAGCGACCAGAGGAGCGCGAACTTGCGTGCCCGCAGCAGCAGCACGGGCGCGTACAGCGCGGCCAGGCCGAAGCAGAGCGCGGCCAGCAGCAGGCACACGCCGCTCGCCGCCAGCCGCTGCGCACGCGTCAAGCTCGGCAGGCACGCCGGGCCCGCCGCCGCCGTTGGCTCCGCGGGGCTCGGCGCCCACGTCCAATGCAGGCCCGCGCGGCCCAGCCACGCCCCCGCCGGTCTGTCCCCCGCCGCGGGCTCCTCCGCCTTTCCCGCGGCGAGCAGCGGCTCCGCGGCCGCCGACCCGCCAGCTTTCCCCTGCGCCAGGTACTCCTGCAGCTGGCGGTGGAGGTCCGCCATCTTGGACGGAGCGCCGCTAGGGGGCGGGCCGCCGCGCTTCCGGGTCTGCTCGGTCGTTGGCGGAAGCGGCTCCGACCCCGGCGGCTGTGGGCCGCGGCGGCGGAAGGGGCGGGGCGGGGCCGGCCTTTCCGGATTTCCCGCCGCCCCTTGGTGACCCCGCCGTCCGTCTGCGCTGATCTTCGCGGCGCTGACGTTGTTGTTGGAAGTGGACGCTGCTCCGGCCTGGATTCGTGTTGTCGACGTTACAGATTAGTTGGGGCGGGGTGGGTGCGGCTATGAAAGGGTACGGGAGGGAGCCTGGTGATGATGGCGCTTCTGTATTCGCCCTTATGGATGCCAACGCCCTGGCCGTGATATAGTGCTCTAGTTTTGCAAAATGTGGGCGAAACTGGGTAAGGGGTACACGGGGTCTACCTGTTATTTCTTAAAACTGTATGGTAATCTACAATTATCTCAATAAATTTAATTTTTAGAAAAGTTCAGAGCTGTAGGACTTAGGTGGTTTCTTTGAGAAGCCTGGGGAGTTGATAAAGGAAGAGTTAACTCTGCCCCCCCTCCCCGCGCCAACTTGCTTCTCTTCTGTTCCCGCTTTCAGCAGAAGCCTGGCAATATTCTGGAGTCCTTCAAGCCGCATGTCCTAGACCTGGCGGTGGTGCCCTGTGATTATTGTGGTTCACTTTTCCGTGCTTCTGACTTATCTGGGTCCAGGTCTCCTGACTCGTCATTAGATGGGTCAAATAAACTCGCCCACTTCCCAGTCGGTTCCTGATCTGTTCTGAGGCGGCATCCAGTGCCCTGCTGTTTCTCAGAGCCTCTTTGAGGTACTTGAGCCTGTGTTCACTCGCATAGGTCACACCCCTCTGGGTCTCCAGCAGGCTTCCGCCCCCTCTGGTTTCTGCCTGGCTAATTCCTGTCTCGAACGTTCAGATCACGCTGCTTAATACTCTTCAGCTTAGATGCGCTTTCTCTAAGCTCTCACCTTTCCCAGCTGTGAAAGTTTACTCGTTTAAGGCTGTGCCAGCCACTCGAGAACAGTATCTCTTTGATCTCCCTTTTCCTAGCACGTGCAGTATATAAAGGCTGCCAAATGGATCTTGACCCAGTGAACACAGCTGCCAATTTCAGTGCAGTAGAGGTGCCTGAAAGGCTTTGTTGAGGCTTACTGAAGCCGTTGATTGAAAACGTATTTTGCTAGACTTTATAAATATCTGTTATGAACTTAAGTATGATGGTGTGGAAGTCCTTTTGCAATGTAACTTGCAGTACAGATAGGTTATACAGCAGTCTGCTGGTGAGCTGGTCTTTGGTCCATTTGCCCCAGGAGACCATTCCTTCCCCATTCTTGGTATTGGGGATGGGAGGCAATGCTGACCCCTGCAGGCTTAGTTTCCTGTAATCCTCTGTCGCCTGGCTTTGGAGGCACTGGCGAGAGAAGCCAGGGTATTTCCCAGTCTCGGCTTTTGGCTGCGCTACAGCTTTCCTCACCTTGGTGCTGACTTCCCCTGTGTGACCCCAGCCCGTGGGCTGGCAACACTCCTTTGTCTTCTACACTAGGAAGAGGTGGGGTTAAGGGCTTTCTGCTGCTGTTATCTGTTTGGCTTCTCAGCCTTTCTGTTAGTTGTGTAACCAATTTCCTGTATTAAATTCCCTTGAATGCTTTCTGTTTTCCTAGTTGGATCCTGACAGATACTGTTCTTTTTCAAAATACATTCCAGTTTGTTATCTCACTTGATGATAATAGTGACCATCCTGATCAATTACCAGGGGCAAAACTGTTGGGATGGCTGCTATCAAAGAAACAGAAAGTAACACGTGTTGGCCAGGATGTGGAGAAATTGAAACCCTGGTGCACTGTTGTTGGGAATAGAAGATGGGACAGCTGCTATGGAAAACGGTATGGTGGTTCCTCAAAAAACTAAAACTAAAAATACCATATGATCCAGTAATTCCACTTCTGAGCGAATACCCAAAAGAATTGAAAGCAAGGTCTTGAGATGCTTGTACCCCCCTGTTCATAGCAGCATTATTAACAGTAGCCAAAAGGTAGAAGCAACCCAAGTGTCCATCCACAGATGAATGGATAAGCAAAATATGGTATATACATACAGTGGAATATTATTCAGTGTTAAAAAGGAAAAATTCTGACGCATACAACATGGGTGAATCTTGAGGACATTATGCAAAGTGAAATAAGCCCAACACAAAAAGGCAAATACTGTATGATTCCACTTATATGAGGTAGAGTAGTCAAAATTATAGAGACAGGAAGTAGGACGGTGGTACATAAATGATGTTACCTCGTCTTTTATGCAGCTAAGACATGGAAAAGACAGGGATTGTTCTCACTTTACAGATAAGGGAAACTGAAATATTGCGAAGTTAACCTACCCAGGGTCACCCAAAAAATTCATGGTAGGGCAGGGCTAGAAGTGGTGAGTTCTAATTTTTAACTTTGTGAGCTTCCTGTATATATATATAAGAGGCGTTCCCTGGGAGTCGTGTTGTATAAAGCCAGGAATCTGCTCAGGTTTGGTTCCTGCACTGACAGAAGGACATCATCAAATCCTCCTTTGACCCCCGTGCCCCTCCAGCTACTGCAGGAAAATGCAGAGTCTGTAAACTCCATGTGTCCACTTGCCTCCCATTCTCCCTTGAACCCCCTTCATTCTATCGTGGCAGCAAAATCGTTCGTGACAAGGTCACTAAATACTTCTGTTGCCAAGTCCAGTGAAAGTTTCAGTCCCTACCCTCCTTAAACTTCCGGCAGTTCTCAACAGTTGCTTGGTTGCTCCATCTCAGGTCTCCTCTGTGTGCTTCCTCCTCCTGACCCCTCAGTGTTGATCTTTTCTTTCTTGGTCCTCATTACCTCGTCCTCATCCAGCCCTATGCTGTTAAGAACATCTATGTGCAGACCCTCCAGCAGATCCCTCCCTGCACTTCTCCACTGGATATCTAATAGGAACCCTGAAAATGACATGTAAAACGAAAATGTTCATTCCCAGTTTCTGCTCCTCACCCCTCAAAACCTGTGACTACTCCCCTCTTCCTTCCTCATCTCAGTGAGTCACACACCATCAGCAAGTCCTGCCGGCTCTACCTTGGAAACGCATCCAGTACCAGACCGTTTCTCTCCCCTCCACTGCTGATGCCCAACCCAGCCCCGCCCCACCCCCAACTGGACTCTGTCCGGGTGCCAGAGGGATCCTCTCACATGTCAGTCAGATCACGTCACTTCCTCTCGTGCTTCCCATTTCACTCACAGAAAGCCGGCATCCTTGCATCGCATAAGTGGCCTCTGGTTCCCCTCTCCCTCCTCTCCTTCCCTCAGTCTGGTACAGACATGGCTGTCCCTGGGTTGTTTCTGGAGATGTCAAACTTGTTCCCACCTCAGTGCCTTTGCCCTTGTTCTCAGCCTAGCACATTCCTCCCCCCTGCCCCCAGTATCTTTAGAGCTCACTCCCTCTGTTCAGTCTCTGAGTGTCCCTTTTCAGAGTGTCCTCTGACCACCCTAAAATAGCATCTCCCGTCACTCTCTACCCCTTTACACTTAGAAACAAAGTTAAATGTAGTACAGTTATTTCCTTGGTAGCATAATACATTTGAGGATAATCAAATATGCAAATCTTGCACCATCATTTTGAACATCAACTTGCAGTGGATGGTGTTTTGAGATACAAAGAAGCAAGAGACTCAAACAAATGCAGAGACACCTGGGAGTTTTTGGTTATTTTGTTTTTAAGCCAAGTCCTTGTTCTGAAGGCCTGCTCTGTGCTCTCCCGGGTAGGCGATAGCAGACGCCCTTGCTTCACCCGGGAGAAGCCCCTGAGCTTTAGATCCCGCTGTGTCAGCTGCCAGGCAGGGTCTGACTTCCAGCTCTTGCAGGAATCACACCACAAGCCCTGGGAAGGGACCCACTGTCCAGCATGGGTCAGGTGCCAGTCCTACGCCCAGAAGGTGGGGTGCTGGGGGATCCACAGCATTGGAGATGGGGGTGTCCGGGGGTCTGCGCAGGTCTTGATGCCTGCGTCTTCACTTCCCACTGTACTGGGACCTTAGCACAACATCGGGCAGATCCCAGCTCTCACCTCCACAGGAGGGGAAGGGGCTGGAGCAAGCCTTTCATTTTATTGAGGACTTTCAGCTTGACCTAAGGAAGCAGCACCAAATCCTCTCCCCACCCCCTGGGAGACTTTATTTTTCCCCAGAGCCAGTCAGGTGTTACCTGTGCTTCTTTTGAGGTGCATCTCCCTTCCTTCCTGTCGCTATGGCCATCCCTGCTCAGCCAGGTCCTCTTGTACCTCCCTGGCTGCCTTCTGAAATGCCCAGTTGGCTCTCCCTTCAGTGTGATAGGTCTGCTGGCACCCATCTTATCTTCACAAAACCGAAGACTCATTTCTTCTTTTGCCTAACATTTGTCAGTGGCTCCATACTTCCTGGAGACTAAATTCCAAATTCCCCATCTGGCACTCTAGGCCCACCCCTTAGGTCTCAGTGGCTCTCACCACTGCTCTCGGGGGGGGCGTCCCTTTGGGCTGGCCCTTTGGGGCCAGCCCAGCAGTGGGCCCCAGCAGCCTGGTGACTCCCCTGTTCTGTGGCTTTGCTAACGCCTGGCTGTCTGGGCTGCCTTGCCCTGCCTGTCCCTCCCGAGGCCTCCTTGCCGTTTGCAGCCTCTCCTGCCCCTGGGCCACCCTTCATGGTCCACATGGCACAGTGGTCCCTCGTGTGCTGACTGGTGATATCTCTTGAGTTTCCTTTTCATTTTTAAAAACAGTACCTAACTGCTTATGTGTTTATGATCTTCTCAAGTCTTTTTTCTTTGCATCCCTGCTTCCTGGCCCCCAACACTCTGTCTTAACTGCTTTGGATTTCTGATTAACCTTGAGTTTTAAGCACAAGGCTTTGTGGCAGGGGAGACACGTTTGCCTAGAGGGCTTAGTGATGACACTGGGCTGCATCATCCCCACTAAGTCACTGTTCAAGGCCGAGGGCCTGGCCTTGCTGACCTT